ATTGGGCAATAATTTCTACTTTGGAATTCATTTTGCTGTTCCCAAGAATGATAAAGCACCTTAATTATCGCTTTAAATAACTACACAGCTCCATCAAAACAGCATGAAATAGCACCCACGTATGAACAGACCTATCTCCAGCCATTGCTATCTTTGCAGCTTGAGAAATCCTTAAGGAAGCAACAGGATGAGAAATTGTTAGAAGCGTCACCTAGCCTGACCCTCAAGATTCTAGACTGCTCGGGCCTGGGAGAGATGTTTGCAGGCGCCCTTGAACTCCTTGATAGCCTGAGATCTTCAGTTCGGACAGTCAGAAAAAAAGTCATTGCCTTCATTCTCTTACTACTGGGCTAGGCTGGAGACACAGCACGTCAGGAAATTTACAAGTTCTTTATATCTACAGGGATTTCAGCCTATCCAAGGCTGTTCTTCTGTCCATTGGAATTCCAGAATACGGTGAGACCAAAGCCTTTCCAACATAGGCTCTCCCTTACGCTGATACAAGTGGTTAAAAGCAAGCCTGCTCAAGTCAAACAAGGCCTATTTCCTCCATCCCTTTCTTTGGCCAGGATAAGCTCCTCTTTCTGGCTTCATAGAGCTGCAGGAACATAGGAGGGTCCTTCATTCAACCTCTGGAATGGGTTTTTGATAGAAGGGGCTTAGTGGAGCAAAATGAGCTAAATTGGATCTTAAGAACATGTTTCCTGCTTGCCTGTTTAGAGAATTTGGGGTCTGGTTGGGTCATGAATTAAAGATGCTTTATATCGGGGTAGAGATCCATTCACCCTTTCTCAGCAGACCTTACCAGCCCCTCGGAGTGCAAGCTTTCTAGTTAACCCGAGAAACAGAGCCCACGGAGGAAGCCTATCGTGCCCGCCGCCTCTTCAGAGTTGGGGTGGAGGGTGGGTAGAATGTGCATAATTAATCAGGTAGCTTCCAGAGTGCTGTTTACTGTGTTAAACGGGCTGCCAGCCAGACTGGAGAAGAGCTGCAGACCCAGACTGCGACCCCAGTCCTGACGCGGATACGGGCTGCACCACCGCCAAGTCCTGGTGTGCCAGCTTCTACTGGGAGGAGCCAGCGCAGACACGCCGCACGCGCTCCCTTCCCTTGCTGTGCGCTGCAATTCACTAAGGAATCTGATTTTCACAAAAGACCCACTTATCAGTGACGGTCCCGGCTTAGCTGGGGCACCGATCTCTGCGATCTAACATCACAGAGCCTCACAAACCATCTCTTTTTAATGATGCTCATAAAATGGGTGCTTGAAAGGAAAGAAACCATCTCCTGCCATATTTATTTCCTCCTCAGTAAGAAAAAAAAAATAGCCCATGAAAATTATTGGTGAGCTTAGAGGGAGACATTTTTTTATTTATGGACAGCTCAGAAGTAGAAATAATTTGGATCAGATGACCTTTGGTTTTTCTAGACTTGAACTAAAAATAGAGTTATGTTCAAGGTATCTCCCAGGTGAGCGTGTAAGCTCAATTTTCTCTCAGTTCACAGCTGTCCTTATCATTCCTGATAGCCTAAGCTGCATGGACTTCTGAATGCTTGAAAGGACCAGAGGGTGGCAGAGCTGAGCCATTTAATTGGGCCGCCCTTGAAGCAAATGAGATACATGATAAACCAATAGGTGGGAAGTTACTGTATTATCCGTCAGCTTAACTGCTCTCCTAAACGCAGCTCCTAGGAATAGCTGCAGTTTCGGGGGTGGGTGAAATCAACTCCTCTGTGCCAACGTAAACTCTCCCTCTGTACTGGTCTGTACATGCAAAGGATTTGAAAACCCCTGAATCACTCATTACACACAAGTCAGTTTCCCCACACAGTCGCACTTGGCACGTGCATTCCTAAGGCATGGGATCCATCGTGCACGAACTAACCAGGAAAAGAAGAAAGTATTGGCCTATTTGTCGGAGTCACCTAAACATTATCTGGCCTAAGTTTTCTAGTTTGATTTTCTATAATGGTGACATCCATGTCATTTATTGCTAAATCCTTAACGACATTATACATGAATGATAATGTCTGCTTGAGCATGCTCCGTTCCTAATTCATGGTGGTAGTTTTGACTTTATAGTGAGATGTTTTTGCTCACCACTGTTCCCCTTTGATAGAGCAGAGCAAGAGGAAAAACAAATCTGCACATTTTCCAAAGGAGAAAGGCAACAAGGAATTGTGTGGGTCCTTGTGTGTGTGCATATGTATGTGTATGACCACCCAGAAGGGTCAGAAATCAAAGTGACCGTCAACTTGTTGTGTGAACTTCCATAGACCAGTTCAAGCACATGGAACAGATAGTTACAGGGGGTTAGAGGGCGCCTATACCGCCCTCCCCACTGTGTATTCAGTGAAACGAAAGCACAGGCATTGACGCACGGTCGCCCAGCATATTAGAGGCAGCACTAAATCCAGGTTCGCTTCACGGCTGCGCGGCATCCACTTTCCTTTGTTTTCCACGAGGGATAGCAAGTTTGGAATAGTCTGAGAGAAGATTTCAGTGACAGTGCCCCTCTATGTCTTAAAGAGATGACTCTATTGTCTTTTGGGTACTGTCACCTAGACCTGGCAGCTCTCAGTGGGCCCACAAGTGGAATATGATGGCAGAAGTTCAAGGACCCAGCAGAGGTTGGGCACATGGCCCGGGGAGTTCTCTGTCTCGGAGGGATTCCAGACACCTCCTCAGTTTGAAGGGGCCCAGTTTGAAGTCTGCAGGCCCTAGAAGAGCTGGCTCTGTCTCTGGTCCCTAGAGGCCTGGCCCTGCGTTGCCTGATTGACCTAGACTTCAGGCTTTCTGAATTCAGACCAGCAATGAGTCTGAATGAAAGGGCCTCTTTACTTTTTTTTTCATTGCAAATGATCTTTCTTTTTAAATAAAGTGAATAAAGTGCTAGTGACAGGGGCTGTGGTCTCTCCGAAGACTCGCACACCCCCTTGGAGCGGAGGGCTTCCTCCTCCCCTCAGTAAAGTGAGTGAGCGCTCGTGATGGGGGGGGGGGGGGGACAGCCGCGCCCACATTCTGGCCTAGAGCCTGGCCTGAAGTCCCTCTCTTTAACTTTCTTTCTTTAGACACAGGCTTGTGGTGGGGAAAGGATGGTCTTAGATGAGAGACTCCTCCCACCCGCTCCCACCCGTAGTGCTTCTCAGACAACAGCATTCTGGCTTCTAGCCCACCGCATCCGGGGCTGGAACACAGTTCACCTTCTGGTCTGCACAGGCCACGGGAGGGAAGGCCATGACGGGCTGACCTAGAAGCAGACTGTAAACAGCTCTATCCTCGACTCCAGAGTCGGATCCTTGTTTTTGGCTGCATAGTGCATTTTCTTCACCTACATCGTTCTAGACCCTTGCCTTGGCCTGCTCTCCTGGGCCGTCGGTGGCAGCTGTTGTGTCTCAGGGAACGAGAGTAAAGTCCCTATGGGAAGGTGCTTTAGGGGAGGAATGGGGCTCCCAGTGTCTCTTCTCGGTCCTGCCCCAGGTTGGGGATACTCTAAAAACACAAGTGAACCCCAAGCCGCAGTACAAACTGATTGTCATGTCAGCTCTGTCTTACCATCGACCACATACTTTGAGCCAAAGCCAAGACACTAAAGTGCAAAGAAGGGTAACCCCAGGGTCCTGGTCACTGACCAGAGCAGGGAGCATGCCACAGACCACGCGCCAGTGTTTCAGGCGGGGTGGAGGTGCAGCTGGGCGGAGCCTGCTGGAGACCGGGCCCCTCTTTGCCTCTAGCCCACGCACGGCCTCCTGACGGGACAGTGGGCCCCTCAGCAGCATCTCCTGCCCCTTACAGCCCCTTTCCTAGTCTCTGTCCTTTTTTTCTGGGGTGCCCCAGCTACCCTGGGATAAATCTGGCACATCAGAGTTAGAAGGAAGGAGAAATACTTGTCTAGTTTTCCTAAACATTAAAGCTGAACAAAGCACCAAAAAGGGGGGGAAAAAGCGCCTTATAAAAATATAATGGGGTCATCCCCCCAAGCTTCCCACATTATTTGCGGTACATGAAATGTCAAAATATAATGAACGGGTTTTCTACACATTACCATTTCTTCCCATCGTATACAGCTGATCTGCAGTAGCTTCAGTACCACCCTTCACCTCTTAAAACTCCACTCTGCGGAACCACTCTCCAATAAACTCGTTTCACCCCACCGACCCCGCCTTCCCAAATATACAGACACTTGAAATTCCCAAGACACTTTCCAAAAAAATAGACATTTGAAAAAAGTGCATGTTGACACTTGTCTATGCATAATTATTTCTTGAGATTATTACTTTTTTTTTTTTTAACCATAAAAAAGATTGCATATTGGCAATATGATGAGAAACCATGGTGGCCATTTCTGGGCGTCGTGGAGGGTGAGTGGGGGGTGTTGGAGCACAGAAGCGAGCGGGCTCAGAGAGGGGCAGGCGTGATCCTTGGCCTCGAGACGGGGGCACGGAGGCCGGGCCATCTGCGTTCTCAGTCCCTGCGCCTCTGAAATGTCCCATCTCTGTGGTCACTCCCTTCTGATTCTCCACCTTTCCCGTCTCCACTCCCCACGCTCCGGCCGCCCAGCCCTCTTGAAGCAGAGGAGGAATCGCTTTTTGGCATGTGTCCACCTGGGCCGGGTTGAAGCCAGGCATGGCGTTTGGAGGGGCGAGATGTGGGCCGCACACCAGAGCAAGCTCGTTTGTGACTGTTTCCACTCGGGGAAAAATGGTCCATCGCTTCTGTGACTTACAAAATTTAAGCAGTTACTAGGCTGATAGGTTAAGAAAAACTTTTGTTCTTGTGGTTTTGCATTAATATTAAGCATGAATATATATCATATATTACATTGCTTTCCTTCTGCTCCGGGGCAGACTGCACTCTCCTTCCAAACAGGAAAACTGCACGGCCCATGGCCTCCCCGCCCCCACCCTTGACCCTTCCCTGCCTCCCCACCCCTCAGTTCCTATGTTAGAAAAGCCCCCCACCCCAGCTCACCCCTGGTTAAATAGATAGCGCCACATTCTAAGACTCATGCATCACTGCCTCGTTATTGCACATGTTGCGGAGAGGGAGTTGTGTGTGCGTGCCCCCCTCGCCCCGGCTCTTCCTCAGGCCCCCCGATTCCTGTGCTAGTCCCGCTCCGCCCTCCCCAGCCTCCCCGTCCCAGACCCGTCACTGGTTGTGGACGTCCTCCCTGCGGACAATCTTGTAGATGATCCAGTAGAACATGTTGAAGATGAGGAAGGCCATGGGGAAGCCGATGCGCGATATTTTGTCGATCTTCTTGGCCCTCTGGATGAAGAGTTTTCGCATCTCCTCCGGGGACTTGGACGGTGCAGGGGGAGGGTTGGTGGTGTTGTTGTTGTTGGCCCCCTTGACCGAGATGCCGTCCTTGGCCTGCAGGCAGGCGGGGCCCATGCCGTAGGCAGAGAAGTTGAAGCGGCCCTCTCCGGCCTCGTCCTCCTGGAACAGATTCAACATGGGGCTCTACTTAAAATAAGACAGGGGCTGGGCACCCTCCCTGCAAGGCACTCCCCTGGGGCCAGCCCGTGCCCTTCTGGTCCTCCCTGCCTGCCTGCCCCGATCCAGGTCTCTGAAGGCTCTGGCTGGCTGGGGAGTGAGGCCTCACAGAGGGGCGCCACTCGCGTGCTGAAACAGACGCAGACCAGGGGATGGCACTGTGGCCCAGTCTTGAGACCGTGGCCCAGAGTCGGCTGTTTCCTTCTGGCTGTACAACCGTAGGCAAGTCGCTTCCTTCTGAGTCTCAGGGTTTATTTAATTTCATCTTTACCTATAAGTGGGGTAAGAGTCATCTCACTACCTCAAAGGTGCCTTTGACCATCCGAGGTCATAGGTGAGTACGCACTCTGAATGCTGCTTCATTGGAAACCCAGAAGACAATTTGGAGAGATCCCCTGCTTTGCTTCTGTTGCCTTCTTGCCCCCCTCCCCGACCCCTGCCCTCAGTTAATGTCTTCTGGTGTGTGGGCTGGAGTGGGGGGCGAACGGTCCAGGCGGGAGCAAGAGCTGTGGGCCTCACCTCCGTTTCTCCAGCCAGAGAGACCACGGCCTCTTCCTGCCCCTGTGTTCCCATATGCCAGGCGGTTGTGAGCTCAGACGTACCTCTGGGCTTGTATCAGGTTATCGCTCAATGTTCTTCTTTATTTGGCTCCAACTTACCTGTACAGGCTGTTCTCTCTCCCCCACCGTGTGCTTTGCACACCTGCTAGCACAGTTGCACTTTCGGAATCATCCCTGTGCCCCCCCCCCCCCGCCGAAGGCTCACTGCCACACGCCTGCCGCCCTGATCCTGCTCATCGCTCTCCCGGAGTGTATGGTGGTGGTGCCCCGATCTAACTGTGGAGGCCCTGTTGTCCGCTTTCATCATGTCCAGCTGTATGTTCTGTCCATGCGCACCGAGGTGGCGCTGAGAGTCTCGGCGAGCTCTTGACTCAGTGGGTGGCTCTGGGGAAGTCGTGTGGGCTCCCGCTGACCTAGACAGCAGGAGCTTTTAGAGCAGCAGCCCCGTCTTCTGCTTGTTCCCGTGCAGGACAGGGCCACACAGCCCAGGAGCCACGGGGCCTCTCCTCTTGCCTCAACTCTTGCCGCCCTCCTGTGGGCCACCATCTGGGCTTGTGATGACTTCCAGCCTAGTCTTCCTACTGCCTCCGCTCTGTCCGCCCCCCCAACCCATCTGAGTTGTCATAACATAGATCTTATTGGTCATCTTTTGCCTAGAACTTTAAAAAAATATGTTTTTAGCTCTGGCCAGTTTGGCTCAGCGGTTAGAGCATCGGCCTGCGGTCCAGAGAGACCTGGGTTTGGTTCCCGCTAAGGGTGTGTACCACGGTTACAGTTTGTCCCCGGCCCTGGTTGGTCGTGCGGGTGGCAACTACTCGATGTGTCCCTTTCACATCCATGTGTCTCTCTCTCTCTCTCTCTCCCCCCCCCACTCTATCTGAACAAAAAATGGGAAAAAATGTCCTCAGGTGAGGATAAAAAAATGTGTTTTTGTTGATTTTTTTTAGAGACAGGACGGGAGAGAGAGAGAAAGAAACATCTATGTGAGAGAGAGAAACATTGATCGGTTGCCCCCTGCATGTCTCCTACTGAGGATCGAGCCCGAAACCCGGGCGTGTGCCCTGACTAGGAATGGAACCAGAACCTCTCAGTCCATGGGACGATGCTCAATCCACTGAGCAACACCGGCCGTGCTTGCCTAGAACTTTTAATAAGCTGATACTGACTGCAGGGTGATTAAAAGCCTTGCATGGTTGACAAGGCCTTCGATAACCTGGACCCTGTCTACCTCTCCAGTGTCATCTGTGCCCTTGGCTCTCTGGCACCCTGTGCTCCCGTCACCCTGAAACATTTCCCTGTGGTCAAAGTGCCACGCTCCCTCTCATTAACCCCGGGCCCTGCTCAAGTTGTCCTCTGCCCAGAGCACACGCCTCACTCCAGCCCTGATCCAAATCCTTCTCTTTCACTGAACCGATTCTTGCTCGGAAGCCTTCTGAGCCCAAAGATAGGCCAGGTGCTCCTGCTATGTGCTCCACAAGGTCCCTGCACCCCCACCCCCACTTTAAAGCTCTTAACACATTGTTTTCCTTGATTCCTGTCTGCCTCTGGGTAGCCTGTGAGCTCTGTGAACGCAGGGGTCAAGTCTGTCACATTCATTGACCTGTCAACACTGAATGGACATACCACCAGGGCACGGCACCTGGCTCCGGAAGGGAGACGTGAGGATAAGGGCAGCAGTGCTGTGTGGATGTGCATCAGCGGGACTGGGGCTCTGGTGTGTTGAGTGACATTAGAAGTGGGCTATTTGCATCCTGGCACCTCGTTCCAGATTTGTATGCTGCTGGGGAAATGAAAGATACGCGCATGACGAATGTGACCTGGCTACAAGTGGTTGTCTCCACCTTGGGGTAAACCTGAGTTCTTATGGGCGATCCAGTAAATGCAGGACTATTTGCATCTGCTTCAGTTTGGACACATTGACGAGTACACGGCAGCTGATGCCCATGGCCAGTGCTGGGAGAAGAGCCACGGGCCCTTGGGCGCCTCCCCTGCCTTTGCCATCAGTGCCCCCGTGATCCTGGAGACTTGCTCCTCCTCGCTGCTGTCCCCTGTAAGGGAGGACTGGACGGGACGCTCTCTGACAGCAGTTCCAGCACGGACACGGAGAGCGAGCAGGGAGCTGAGCGGGAGGACCGAGCCAGTCTGCAAAGTAGGCTCATCCACCCTTTGCCTGGCCAGAGAGAAGGCTTCTGTTTTCCTCTAGTGTGTAGAACTTGTAGACATTTGGCAAGGGGGAAGGCAGCCTTTGGAAGTACTAGAGGCCCACCACGTTACACATCTGCAGGGCGCTTCATTCACATTTCAGTCTTGCAAACAGTGCCCCCTGCAGTTGTGCAATGCATGATCTAGTGGTCTGGTGCTAGTCAAATATTTCTCACATAATCTTCCCAGATAAATGTCTCTTCAGCAAATGCATTAACCATCTTTTAGCAGAAAGCCACTAGCCCCTGGGAAAAAAAGGCAAAATAAAAGTAAATGCCAGAGGTAGCTGCATTTGGTCAGTTCCTTACTTGGATTATTTTAAGAGTCAGAGGCTGGGCATCCAATGGACAATGACGGAAGGACTAAATCTAGGGGTCTTTTAAGGAGCCCTTTCTGGCTTGCTGCACCCCAAGTAGTTTCCTCTTCTGATGCAGGTTATGTCTTAACTCCCATGCATGTCTCTATCTTGGAATGTCTGCCTTCTGCCTGTGGTAAACGGTTAGAAGTTCATTGAATCAGACTGCTAATGTCTAAGAGACATACTGATGGATGTATATGCTTGTGCGCATATGCCTAGAAAGAGACGAGCTCGGAGTCCCGACCAAAGAGAGCTAAAGAGGCAGAGTCCTCTGTCAGAGCACAGAGTCCTTGGGCATAGCTGAGTCGTCAGCGTTTTAAATAGGTCAGCCTACTGCTCGTAGGGCCTTGGCGTGTGGCAGTGTGTGGCGTGGCAGGTCCCAGTGTGTGCGTTCTTGGTTGTCCTGGTCTGTTGCTGGAAAAACTTCCCGGCAGGCTCTCTGACTGAACCTCTTTGTTCATTAGTTTGTTCATTTCTTTGTCTGTTTGTTCTACAGATGCCTGTTGCATGTTCACTGTGTATCGGGCATTGTGTTAGGCCCTAGGAATATACCACTAACAAGGAAAGACAGGGTTCTGCCCTTACGGAGCTTGAAATTCAGTGAGAAGAGGAGCCTTCAACAGTCACATCGTTGCATGTATAGTACTAACTCACGACAAACATGCAGAAGGAGAGCAGCCGGGTTTCATTAGAACACGGCCTTTGCTAGTGCACGGCGTCGCTGTGCAATTAGAAGGCACGGCCCTCTTGGCATGTGAAGTGGAACCCCTCCTCTGGCTGACACCGTCCATGCCAGGGCACGACCCAGAGAAGAGCACCTCTTTGGCTAGGGGCCCCTGTGGGCCACAACCTGCACGGCCACGCCCGCTAGCCTTGCAGAAGGACCTCAGTACAGGCCTCCACCTTGCCTGAGGGATCAAGGAAAGAGGCCTCCGCCGGGAACTGGAAAATGAGGGGGTTAAGACCAAGCAGAGCACACTGGAAGGGCAACCCAGGAGGAGAGAACAAGGTACCTAAGGTCCGGTGTGTATATTTGAATAAGGAGGCAAAAAGGTGCTATGGTTGGTGCCCAGAGAACACAGGAGAAAGTGGTGTGAAGAGGAGGCGCAGGTGTGGTGCCGCCTCTGGACCAGGGTGTGGCGCCCGTCTGCACCCACGGGCTGAGCTCTCCCCCGTGGCTTTTGCTGGTAGGAACACACTGCTGAGTTGACAGGTTGGTGACTTTTCACAGATGGCCTGCCAAATATTCCTGTAATTCAATTCCTCGGTGAGAGGATCCCTCTGGGGGAGGGTCCTGCTTGATGCTCTTTTCTTGGAGGTAGGAAGCACAGGACTGGAAGGTGGACATTTCACTCCAAGCTCTCACGCTTTGTGGTGCGCTCCCCTCTGGAACCCAGCCCGCTGCAATAACGCAGCCTTGCCGAAAACACCCAGGAGCCCGTCTCAGCCTGCGTGCTGCCGTCGGCTTGGCCCCATCGGCACTTGCTCTCTCAGCTGGGTCTTCAGGTGTAAGCAGATGCTTTCCACAGTGTTATTACGGCGGGGAAAGTGACTGCCTCTGGACCCCGGGGCGTTCTTTATGGGAGAGGAGGCTCGGACTTGTACAACTTTGATTCCTGTTTCATGCCTGCCTTACCCCCTGAGAAGGACGGTCCAGCAAAACAAGTATCATAAGACACGTCTGCCCGGAGCTGTTCTGTGTGCCACCTGCTGTCCCTCCTCAGGCAGTGACCCAAAGTCCTACCTTGTGATGCCTTCGCTTCCTCCGGAATCGGAGCAGCTCTTTGTGCTGCCGAGACACGAAGTTGACAGCAGCATACTCCAGCAGGGCGGAGAACACGAAGAGCAGGCACACTGCCATCCAGATGTCAATGGCTTTCACGTAGGACACCTGCGGCGGGTGGGGGAGAGCACAGCGGCGTGAGGGCAGCGCAGGGTGAGATACTGAGTGTGGGGCGATGCTTTCTGCCCCTCAGTGACTCCCCATCGCCCACTGCTGTCCCCTCCTCTGCTGGGATTCTAGGGTGGGGGGCACAGAGGAAAACAGAAGAAAAACGCATCGGGAAGACTGGGCGGAAGGTTGGGGACCATATACTATGGTGCCTAGAGGAGTACTGAGGAGAGAGGAGGGTGGCAGAGCCAGCATTGTTATTTGGGGGAATGGGATGTGTTTAGTCCAAGGTGACAGGAACTGGATGCCGGACCTAACGTCAAAGTAGAGAATGTCAGCAAAAATTGGGGAGTACTCCAAAACCTCTCTCCTCCATAAAAGCAACAAGAGAACCAACAAAAATGGTCAGAACAAATTTTTTTTCCCAGAACTCTGGTAATTACGGAAAAACCAACAGCAATCCTGCGAGCACTGATTGAAGGACAGCTGAATCTTAGTAAGAATAGCAAGCTTTGTAGTATTTTAAAAAACTGCTTCATTGAGATATAATTCACATACCATACAATTTACACATTTGAAGTGTTCAGAGATTTTTCATATATTCGCAGATAATGTGCAACCATCGTCACAATCAATTTTAGAATTTTTATCACTTCAAAAAAAGAAACCTGGTAACTTTTTGCTGTCATCGCCCCTTTGCCCCAATTCCCGTACCCTCAGTCCTAAGCGACTAGTAATCTGCTTTCTGTCTCTATAGATTTCCTTGTTCTAGACCTTTTATATGAATGGAATAATAAATATATGGCCTTTTATGACTGATTTTTTTCACTTAGCATAATATTTTCAAGGTTTATCTATATTGTGACATATATTAGTATTTCTTTTTTGTTTGTTTTTTGTTTTTTGCATATATCTTCAGATAGAGCAAGAGAGAGGGAGGAAGAGAGACAGGGAGAAATATCGACGTGAGAGAGACACATCGAATGGTTTCCACCCACACGACCCCAATCGGGGTTGGGGACAAACTGCAACCAAGGTACGTGCTCTTAGTGGGAACTGAACCAGGGGATCTCTGGTCCGCGGGCCGACACTCTAACCGCTGAGCCAAACCGGCCAGGGCTAGTATTTCATTTTTAATGGCTAAATAATATTCCATTATGTGGATATAGTACCAATTTTTGTTGATCCATTCATCAGTTGATGGGCACTTGGGTTGTTTCTACCCATCGGCTATTATGAATAACGCTATTATAAACATCTGTGTACAAGTTTTTATGTGGACGTATGTTTTCATTTCCCTTGGGGCTTTGAAGTATTTCAAATTGCCCCATTTCTCATGTAACATTTTTTTTTTTTTTTTATCCTCACCCGAGGACACTTTCCCATTTTTTGTTCAGGTAGAGCGGGAGGGAGAGAGGAACACAGAGAGAGAGAGAGAAACATCGATGTGAAAGGGACACATCGAGTGGCTGCCACCCGCACGACCGACCAGGGCCGGGGACAAACTGCAACCGAGGTACGCGCCCTTAGCGGGAACCAAACCCGGGTCTCTCAGGACCGCAGGTCGACGCTCTAACCGCTGAGCCAAACTGGCCAGGGCTCAAATTGCCCCATTTCTATCCTCCTTCCCCCAGCTCCATGCTGGCCTTGAAAACCAACAGCTTGTAAGCACAGTGCAAACCAGAATCCTGGCAGCGACTGATGGGGGTGCAGAACAAAGCTGGGGGTTCTTCAAAGCTCCATTCCCAGAGAATTGTCATTATTTGACCTAACTTGGGGCTCACTGAAACTTTCTGGCCCAGTGTGAGCAGCCTTTTCCCTGGGAGCATTTGTTGGAAACAGACAATTGTTGAGCATCAGGTCAGCCTGAGGCAGCTGGTAACTGGTGAGGCAAACGGTAGGTTGATCCAAAAGCTGAAAAGGAAAAGCTAGGGAATGACATGTCCCTAGGGGGCTTGAGAAAGCTCTGACATATGTCTGGAAATCTATTTGTGTGCTCTGGCCGTGTGCATGGCTAGGGAAGACCTGAGGAGGCCCGTAGTGCCCAGCTCTGGCTAACCTTGGTGTGCTGAGCAGGCACGATGTGAAGGCTGAGGAGAGATATAAACCGTCCAGTGGAGTGTTGAAGTTGTGCCCTAATATACACACACAGAACCCCTGGGCAAAGGCTGGGAGATTTATAGGTTCAAGACATTTAGGAAAATCTTTTTGATTTTTAGCTAACTACCAAATTAACTGAGCAGAGACGTCAAGTGTCTCTGCTCACACAGCTGAGAATACAGATGTCCTGATACAACAAAGAATACAGATATCCCAGAATTTGTTTGGAAAAGTTACTACACAAAACAGCAACAGCAACAACAAATCACGAGGGAAGAGAATCTGACTTCCAGAGATGCCACATTAAATTTTATAAATTGTGCAATTTTCAACAAAAACAAAAGTACAAGATATGCAAAGAAGTAAGAAGTGAATGGCCCTGCAATGGGCTGAATGGTTGTGCCCCGTCCCCCAACTCACACTGAAACCCTAATTCGAATATGATGGTATTTGGAGGTGGGGGCTTTGGGAAGTACTTATGTCATGAAGAGTGGAGCCCTTATGAATGAAATTAGTGCCGTTATAAGAAGAGGCCAGAGAGCTAGCTAGTTATCCTTCCACCATGTGAGGGCACAATAATAAGTTGGCAGTTTGCAACTGGACGAGGGTCCTCACTAGAACCTCGCTATGCTACCACCCTGGTCTCAGACGCCCAGCCTCCAGAACTGTGAGAAATAAATGTTTGTTGTTTATGAGATTCCCAGTCTATGATACTTTGTTATAGCAGCCTGCATTGACTAAGACTGGCTCATTAATAGAAGAAAAGCAGTCCAAAGAAGCTTCCCTGAGGAAGCCCAGATGTTGGACTTAATAGATAAAGACTTTAAATCAGCTATTTTAAATGTATTCAAAGATCTAAAGGAAACCATGTTTAAACAACTGAAGAAAATTATGAGAACAAAGTCTCATCAAGTAGAACACAAGATAGAAATTATTTAAATAAGAATCACATAGAAATTCTGGAGTTGAAAAGTAAAATCAGTGAAAGTTCCACTGGAGAAGGTCAACAGCATGTTTGAGCAAACGGAAGAAGAATCAGTGAATTTGGAGAAGAACCAGTGGAGTTCAGGTTATCCTGTCTGAGTAATAGAATGAAGAGGCCTGGCCGGGTTGGCTCAGCAGTTAGAGTGTTGGTCCGCAGACCAGAGAGGCCTGGGTTTGGTTCCCACTAAAGGCACCTACATTGGTTGCGGTTTGTCCCCGGCCCTGGTTGGGGTCGTGTGGGTGGCAACCAGTTGATGTGTCTCTCTCACATTGATGTTTCTCTTTTCCTCCCTCTCTCCCTCCTGCTCTAGCTCAAGATAAATGCAAAAATGTCCTCAGGTGAGGATTAAAAAAGACTAGAATGAAGAAAAATGAACAGAGCCTCAGAGACTTAGGGGGAACTATCATGTGCATTAAAATGTTTAAAGGCCCTGGCCAGTTTGGTTCAGTGGTTAGAGCATTGGCCTGTGAACCATGGAGTTGTGGGTTTGATTCTTGGTCAGGGGCATGTACCTCAGTTGCTGGTTCAATCCTTGGCCCCAGTCAGGGTTTTGTGGGAGGCAAGCAATTGATGTGTCTCTCACATCGATGTTTGTCTCTCTCTCTCTCCCTTCCACCTCCCACTCTATCTAAAAATCAACGGAAAAATAGCCCCGGATGAGGATTTAAAAATATATAAATATATTCGTTAAAGGCTAATAGAGGAATAAAGAGGTAGAAAGAATATTTAAAGAAATAATGGCCAAAATTTCCCCCAAATTTGATGAAAAACACTACTGTACATGTCTAAGAAACTCAGTGCACTCCAAGCAAGGTAAATTCAAAGAGAGTCACACCTATATATGTCATAATCAAACTGTCAGAAGCCAAAGACAAAGAGTCTTGAAAGCAGTGAGAAGCAACTAATCACGTACATGGGATCATCAATAAGAATAACAGCTGATTTCTCATAGAAACCATGGGGTCTAGAAGGCAGATGAAATTAAAGGTGACCCATATAAATGGGAAGACATCCCATGTTCATGAATTAGAATACTTAATGTTGTTAAGATCGCAATACTCCCCAAATTCATTAAGGATTTTTAATCAAAATTCCTTTTTTGTTGCTACAGAAATTGACAAGCTGATCTTAAAATTTATATTGATGTTTATATAGAAATTTATGAAACCCAGAATAACCAAAACACTCTAAAAGGAACAAAACAGCTGTGCTCTATTACCCAACCCCCTAAAATGATAATTGCAATGACTTTCTCACCAAATGCTGAAAATGTCCTTGTAATGTGCACGTAAAGTACTTGTAGTTCCATTATAGCTTCTGTCTGGCAATGCTACAGCCCTGTCAGCCTGAATTTGTTATGTCTTGAGCTCTATTATGAACGTGAAGCTTTCCCTCATCCCCCCTATAACACGATCCCTTTCTAATTATATAGCTCTTCATCAGGGAGTGTTCCCTATTCAATCCTTCTTGCATGTATCACGAGTTTCAGTTGGAGGTCCAGCCTGTCGTTAAAAAAAACAAAAACAAAAATCCCCGGCAGTTACCATTCAACCATCTCCCTGGTGCTTATGCTCCTAACTGCCATCTCTTAAACAGCACCAATTTAAATCTCTCCACTTATTCAGCTGTCTTTTGGAGGACCCATGTAATAAGGTTTTATTTAGTAAACCAGTCCTATGCATGGTTTCAGCACTAGCCAAACCACCAACTCCTAGCTGCAGAAAAACAGGCACTTGATACTCTTGTGATGTCACACAGAGAAGTGATAGGGCAGAACCTGAGGGTCTGTAGGTTGCACACTTGGGAACCAGATGACTTTTTTTTTCTTTATAAGAAAGACTAAATAGCCCTGGCCGGTTTGGCTCAGCGGTTGGAGCGTTGGCCTGCGGTCCCGAGAGACCCGGGTTCGGTTCCC